ATCTCACTGCGTCTGACACCTCTCGTTGGCTGTTGTGCTGCATTGTGATTGTCATCGAATGCAGGATGCCTAAGGGAGGTGAAGAGGTAAGCAAGAGTTATTTTGAGAACCGTGGAGGAAAAGGGGACCCAATTAAAAGGGAACCACCTACCTGTGAGAATGCTGGTAGTAGCTTGTACGGCTATAAGGCCCTCCAGGCGTCGTGTCTGGCTTTCCTGGCTTTTCCATTTATCCGGTCGTCGGGATACGACCGGGATATCCGGCATCCGGCGTCGGGATCTGGTCTGACGTCCGGACCTGCGTAGCTATGGTATATATATCTGCTAATTAATGCAACTGGGATCTCAGCCCGGGTGATGAGGAAGCTATAGGCTAAACGAAGCACAGAAGCCTGGATGCAACTCACACTACGACACGTGGCACGATCGGTCACCTGACAATCATTCGTGGTAAATTACTTAAGGGCAACAGGGAAGGCGAGGACAGGAGACTGTGCATCCACTTAATCATGGTCCTTGGCGGGAAAGTGATGGGGTGCGTGTGGAATGTCCTTGGCGGGAAAGTGATGGGGTGCATGTTTGTTGACTGTACTTGGCGGGAAATTGGTGGGGTCCGCGTAGGACAGGAGACTGTGCATCCACTTAATGCATCGTCCTTGGCGGGAAAGTGATGGGGTCCGTGTGGATTGTCCTTGGCAGGAAAGTGATGGGGTACATGTTGATTGTACTTGGCGGGAAATTGGTGGGGTCCGCGTAGATTGACTGTATGCCTGGAACCTTTTTTTTTTTGTTTGTTTGCTCAGCTGTGAAGTCGGCTCAGTTATCATCAGTATGTCTCTGCCGTGGAAGCTGTGGGGACCACTTCTAGCATGCTGTCCCTTGAGGAGGCAAGGTGCAGAGGACAATGCTCTCCCTTAACACGTTTTACAGCAGCCAAAAAATCAAGAATTCTGTTGCCGAGGACAATGCTGTAAACACGTTTTTTTTTTTTGTTTTTTTTTTTGAAAAAACAGGGAAGGCTGCTAGGGGAGGTGATACCAGCATCCCCCCCTAGCAGGTTTCCTAGTTGCTCCAATCTATTGGTAGGGAGCCTCACCTGCTGGAAATCGGGCTCAGCGTCCCATTTTACATCAGACTGATATTCAGAAAGTAATTTTAGTGGTGCCGCCTGCCAGCATTGATTGCTCGGGACACCCGAGGATTGACTGAGCAGGTCGTCTGAGAGGGGAGAACCTCTTCGCCTGACGTCAGGCGCCAGATAACTACTGCTATACCCTCTGTAAACACGTTTTTGTAGGAAAAAAAAATGAAAATTCTCCAAGTGGTCCAAACTGTAAACACGTTTTTGTAGGGGGGGAAAATCAAAATTCTGTTGACGAGAACAATGCTGTAAACACGTTTTTGTAAGCAGAACTGGCGACGCGGGATGAACCTGAAGTCGAGCTACGGCGCCAAACTGTAGGGGGCGGCGCGGTCGGTATCTCTGAATTTAGGGGTTTTCCTGGAATTATCAAAAACGTGTTTACACCGTAGCTCGACTTCCGGTTCCTCCCGCATCGCCAGTTCTGGCGATGCGCTAATCTATACTCTAAAAATTATGGGGGCGGCGCGGTCGGTGATTTAGGGGGTTTCCTGGAATTAACAAAGGGGGGTCGACGGCGTGGCATCTGTAGTTAGGGGTTTCCGTGGAATAAGAAAGGGCTACATGGGCATTGTATCTGTATTGAGGGTTTTTCCCAGAATAAAGGGGGCGGGGGGGTGGCAGGGGGGGGGGGTTGCGGGCATTGTATCTGCATTTAGGGTTGTCCTTGAATAAACAGGTCATGGACATTGGATCTGTATTCAGGGTATCTTTCCGGCCAGATACCCCGAGCGACGTACAGAGGCGGCGAGGCGATGACGACAGTCAGCTCGGGGTATGGGCATTGTATATCCGTATTTAGGGTTGTCCTTTAATAAATGGGTCATCTGGCCAGATACCCGAGCGAGGTACATAGGCGGTGAGGCGATGACGTCAGTCCTTTATCGACTGACATGATTCAGTACTGTAATAATGCACTGGAAAGAAGAGAAGAAAAGGAGCAATCAATGGAGAACAGTGGGGGGAAAAAAGAGGGAAGAAAGGAAAGGAAAAGAGAAAAAAAAGGACGAAAAGAAGAATGGCTTACTCTCCCGAGCAGCACCCTATGATGATCTACTGAAAGTTCTTTGCGATGGAGATGACGGAATCATCAAGTCATGGAGAAAGCGGTGATGTCTTCTGAAAGAATGAAACTCCAGTCGACTGTTTCGTCATCGTCTTCAAAGCTATTTAGGAATCTGTTACTCTTTCGAAGCATTGATTGGTCCGAAGCCGTTACTATATTAGTACAAGTATACACTTGTCTATTCTATTTGACGATATATAGTAAAAAACTGAATTCATTTTTTTCTGTTTTTCTTCCTTTTTTTTTTTCCCGTTTTTTCGCATTTGCGCTCTGATATTTTTGTGACAATATATAGTTAATTTGCAACATTGATTATGTCATTATGTCATTATTATCGTTGTTTTCCTCAGCATGATCCTCTCCCATCATCATCATGCATCATCATCGTCATCATCGATGTCATCATCATCGTCATCATCTTCGATGTCGTCATCATCATCATCGATGTAATCATCATGGGTGGCGTGAAGCTTTAGCAAGTTCTGGTACCAGTGGTGATGACACGTGTAATCGTCTTGAGCACCTACGATGTCATCATCATGGTCAGCGTAACATGCTAACGTATATGAGCCGCGGGCTTGACACTAGTGGTTATGGACTTTATTCCATCACCCGATGGTTTAACCGACGGCTGAGATTTGCGCTCTCAAATGCTATGTCTGGTCCGACACCTGGGGATAGGTCCCACTTACACGAATTAAGCGATGTTGACCGTAGATAGGATAGCAAAGATCAACGGCCAGAATCTCTTAATCACCGTGCAAGTGGGACCTTGCCCCTGGTGGTGACACTGTGAACGTTGGACGGTGTGGATTGTGGGAAGGCCCAGATTAAAAAATTGTGCAGAAGGAATGTGAGTCGCGCGGTAACCTGTGTCAGCAGGAAGCGTCAGGTTGTCAGAGTGTGAGTGTCAGAGCGCGGGTGTGTCAGAGAGTGTCAGGTTGTCACACGGCCGAAAAGAGGGAAGCTTTTTTCGATCATTTCGTTTTCCCGCCAATTTTTTTTTCGTTTCGGTTTCGTATTCGTTTCAGTAACTTTTCATTTCGTTTTCCCGCCAATTTTTTTTTTCTTTCCTTTCGGTTTCGTATTTGTTTCGAGAAAGCAAAAAAAAAAAAAAATTTGCGGTCGTTTCCCGAAAGGAGAAATGATGAAAAAAACAAATAGAAGAGGGGAAAGGGAAAAGGGAAAACGCGCCCGGGGCCAAGTCCCACTAGCAGCGTTGAGCTACCTCAACGCCTGAATCTGGAGGCTTTTGCGGTGATGTGCAGAAATGGTGTCGAGTTTGCTGAACTGCACGTCTCCACAAACCGTCCAGATTCAGGCGTTGAGGTAGCTCAACGCTGCTAGTGGGACTTGGCCCCGGGTTCGTTTTGTGTTTTTGCGGCTGCCAAAAAGTACGCAGGTGCGCCCCCAGATTGCCAATGTCAGAAATCTGGCATCTGGACTGTCTGCTGCGGTCCTGCCAGGGTGACTTCCCGGATCGTTGCCCCATGTTGGGAAAATTACATCTGTACCCCGCTTAAAATTATTTGCATTAAAAAAAAAATAAAAAAATGTTTGCATGCCCACGACTGAGGTGGACCCAGGTCCGTACCACAAAATTGCAGTTATAACGAACTACTGGAATGCACAAGTTGTGGACTTAGCTAGGCAAAATTACGGGCATACCCGAGACTGAGGTGGACCAGCCAAATTATTCGTATACCCTTTTACTGGATGGCTGAAATTACGCTCATACCCACTACCGGAGGGCTGAAATTATGCTCATACCCAGCACAATGGTCCACGTGGTGGGCATGAACATAATTTTGTGGTCCGCCATCCAAAGTCCCCGCCCCTGGGTGTGCGTACGCCCGCAGTTTTGCCAGCCCGTTTCTGGGCATGGGCATGGGCATGGGCGTAATTTCGTTGTCCGAAACTGGGGGCCTGCGGGACTGGGTATGCCTACAATTTCGCAAAGGGGAAAAAAGTTGGGCACCAGGCAAGGTTGAACGAGGTCCGGGTATAGATGCAAGTTGGGCGCTGGGACCGGGTATACCGGTATTCCTATCTTAAAGTGGGATAAAGATACAAAATTTCCTAAGATTTTAAGATAGTGCGACCATCTGGGCCGTCGGCCTGGTACCGGGTGCAGCGGTTGGACTGTTTTCCCGAGGATATATTTGGAGGCGCATATTTTTCATTTTTGCAGAGTGGTGTATATAGAACGAGACAATTCACGCACACAGACGTGGTGTATAGCGAATGAGACAACTGCACTCGCACGAACGCCCACGTAAGCACACGCACAAGCACGCAAGCACACGCACAAGCACACGCACACACGTGAATGCCTCCTGCGCACACTGTCGGGGTTCAACCTCGTGATGAGTAGGTGAAAGTCCGGCAAAACAGTCTGGCACAGTCATGCTTTTTTTTGTGGAGTTGTGTATAGCGAACATAAAAAACGCACGCATGCACACGTGCATGCGCGCCTGCAGACACGCGCACACAAACACACTAAGAGTGGGTCCACTCCCACACCGCTGGGTAGAAGGGGAAGTAGACAACAGGTCCGGCCGGTTCATGAACACATCTTAGTGTGTTCTGTGTGTTCTGCCCCTTCATATTTGCCAATTTGCTAATATTGGATCTGATTTCGTTTTTGTCTTTGTGTTTTCGTTTGATAACTGTTAATCCAGGCTGTAAATATGGCACAGCAAGAGATGGAGTTCAGGGTCGATATGTTCAGCAGGTAGATTACAATTTCTTCTTCGTCCTCCTGCTCTTTGTCTTCTTCCTCCTCATTGCCCCATCCTCCCTTTTTGGTCCTCTTTTCGGTCCTCTTTTCCTCGTCTCGTCCCTGCCTTCCCTCCTTCGTCCTCCTCCCTCCTCTATCCTCCTTCGTCCCTCCCCTCCTCCCTCCGTCCTCCTCCCTCCTATCTCTTACCTTCTGTCCTCCGTCCTCCCTTCCCTCACCCCTCCTCCCTCTTGTCACCTCTCCTCTTCCCTCCCGTCACCTCTCCTCCTCCCTCCTGTCGCCTCTCCTCCTCCCTCCTCCCTTGCTCCATCCTTCTCCTCCTCCTCCTCCTTGTGCTTCTTGTTCTACTTCTGCTGCTGGTGTTGCTTTTTCGTTTTCATTGATGTTGTTGTTGTTGCTTTTTCGGTTTCATTGATGTTGTTGCTTTTTCGTTTTCATTGATGAGATGAGAACAGCAACAGTCAGAACGAAGCCTGACCAGACGCGCGTGCACACATAGCCGCAAATCACAGCGATAATGCACAAGATATCTCGAAAATTCAGCAAAACAGCATAAGATAGGAACGTCAGCGCGCAACCGCCACAATCGACTATGTTACCATAGCCGGTTGTGGCGTGACCTCCCTCCTCCACGTTGAAAAAAAGTGCCACTCGAGAAGTCGAAGGTGTCTGGCTACTCCCCGACTACCGTAGTTTTGGCCGCTGCCAGGTAACGATCTCCTCAGGGGGATGATTCGATATACTGACTAAGCTACAGTATTGGTCTATTGGTACCCAGAAAGCGTCCCTGGAGACCGCTGGTAAGTACCCGGTGCTTCCACTAATACCACGACCAGGTGGCCGCCGCAGTAGTCGGCAGAACCCATGTTGATGTTGTGGTACTATCCAAGTAACCTGGTCCGATTCTTCGCACACGTTCCGGTATCAGCGCACCACGCATCCCAGTTCTTCACTTCAGCCTGCTTAAAACCTTTCCCACCAAAATTGAAAAACGAGACCGCGCCACTTTTCAGTTCGACCCACCCTGGTGTTAACCAAATGGGCTGCGGGTGTTCGAAGCTTCCAAAAGACCGTCCAAAAGAATAACAACCTACCTCAGAAAGGGCCTGCGGCAGCAGCCGAGCGGTCGAGACTTCACAGCAGTCCTTCAAACTTATTCGGTCCAGACCCTTATCCTACATTAACCGAAACGTAAGTATTCCTCCAGAACCCAAAACCCTTAATCCTTTAACAACATTCATTCATCCTTCAAAAAAAAGTAACCATAATCCTGCCATGTTGACGTTGTTGCCTTTTCGTTTTCGTTTATGTTGTTGCTTTTTCGTTTTTATTGATGTTGCTGCTGCTGTGCTCTGTGGCTTGGGTAACAAAAAACTTTGGTTTGTAACTTTGCTGACTCAGCGATAAGTCAGTTGAGGCTGACTAGGGGTAATCTAATTAACTGCAGTTCAGTATGGAAGACTGGCCATCTGCTGGGTTTGACAATCAGGAAAGGAAAGTGGAAAACTTGCAGCTATTGTCTGGAAATCGTGCGTGCGTGCGATCTGGTGCAACTCGTTCCGTCTTCTTTTCATGTCTTATACCTTGCAATTACTCATCCTTTGCTTCTTCATTGCAGTTTACTGATGCTACCGTTGGGTCAAGAAAAAGGATCTGATGTCATGCGCAGCACTTGGCTGTTTGTTGGTAATTGGCCAACCACTGGTCATTCAGTCATCAATCAGTTCCCTTGGAACGATAGACTGTCTCATTCCCTGGTTGCGGCACGAACTGATGGAGGCCAGCGGCGAACTGTTGAACAAACAGAATGACTTATGAACCACTGTCACTCTCAGCGATGGAAACAAAAACTACTGTCACAGCACAGCGTCAGTGCAGACTCTGCAGACTCTGCAGGCTGAAGAGTTCGGTAGTATGCCACTGGCACAGTTGAGCGTCAGTGCAGACTCTGCAGACTCTGCAGGCTGAAGAGTTCGGTAGTATGCCACTGGCACAGTTGAGCGTCAGTGCAGACTCTGCAGNCAGTTGAGCGTCAGTGCAGACTCTGCAGACTCTGCAGGCTGAAGAGTTCGGTAGTATGCCACTGGCACAGTTGAGCGTCAGTGCAGACTCTGCAGGCATGCTGAGGCAGAGCTGGCAGGCTGCGAAGCCTCCGCAAGCTCTGCAGGCTCTGCAGGTGCTGGAGGCATGCTGATGCGAAGCTGGCCTCTGCAGACTCTGCAGGCATGGTCAGGCAGAGCTGGCCTCTGCAGGCATGGTCAGGCAGAGCTGGCCTCTGCAGGCATGGTCAGGCAGAAGTGGCCTCTGCAGGCATGGTCAGGTAGAGCTGGCATCTGCAGGGTGTTCAAGTTCTGCAGGCTCGGCATGCATGGTGAGTTTTAAGAGCTGGATTCTGCAGTCTCTCTTGCCGCATCGAGGCTGCTGGGCGTCCAGACAGACGCTGGCAAGCTGCCAGTCTGCTTGTTGCCTTCCTGCATGTCAGCATCTAGGGGGCTGTAGCGTTTGTGATGGGTGAAGCCTGTTGTGGACCAGGTGGTCAGATACTAACAGTTGCTACGTGACGGAGTGACGCGCATGAAGATAACAAACGTGCTGACACAGCCAGCCGGAATTGTGACAGATGGACTGGGGTAGTGGCTCTCCTAGGAAAGGAGTTCCTTTTTGGCAGACCTTGTGTGCCTCATCATCATCTGTAAAAGGATGGATCTCTTTTTTTCCTGTACTCTTCTCCATTTATGGGGTATTTCGTTTTGCGGACCTACTGTATGGTTCCGTTTTTTTCAACTATGGATATGGTAGAATTTGTTTTGGTAACCTTGTCTGCATCCCGGTTGGTTTTGTCCTGTTGTTCGGTCTATTTCGGCGAGCGTAGCGGTGCTTTTATGTGGTACCAGTCATCCGGGTTTTCATTTATTGTCTTGACATCCTAGTTGGTTGCTTCCCGTTGTTCGGCCTGTGTGAGGGGGCGGTGCTTTTATGTGGGAATTGTCATATGGGATTGTCTTTTATGTTTTTTGTTCCAGTAAGAACGGTTTACAAATGGGAATACCCACGTCTTGATGACGAATAAGGCCATCTGCTGTATATAGATATGTAATCTGGGATTTCTTTTTTTTTTTGCAGACAAGAGTTTTGTCCTAGGTGGTCTTGGCCTGTCATTTGGCCTGTGAAGGAGGGGTGGTGCTTGCATGTGGGACTTGTCATCTAGGATCCGTTTTTGGTGCTATTGCTTGTTGCCCCCTGTTTTGTTGTATTTGGCTGTTCCCTTCCTCTTTTCTTTGCCGCTTTGCCCTTTGGCTGTGTGCAAGTGGGTCGATATGACACACGGGGGTGGGGGCAGCCGCCGCTCAACCTACATCCACGTGGGCGGCCTTGTACGCAAGAGGTTCTGAACAGGGGGAGTTGTAAGAAAGGAGATTAAAAAAAGGAAATATTTTTTTCTTGTTTTCTTCTATTTTTTCGCCTCTGCGCTCTGATATTCATGTGACGATATATATAGGGGATATGAATGACTGAGGAGTTTCCTTCCTGACAACGTGTGTGTGTGTGTGTGTGTGTGTGTGTGTGTGTGTGTGTGTGTGTGTGTGTGTGTGTGTGTGTGTGTGTGTGTGTNTGTGTGTGTGTGTGTGTGTGTGTGTGTGTGTGTGTGTGTGTGTGTGTGTGTGTGTGTGTTGACCAGGCTAACAGCAGCATGCTTCGAGAAGTGCATTGGAAGATCGTAAGTGTCTCCGCCGCCTCCTTACGTCTTTGCTTGTAATTGGAGAGAAGTGTTTTTTTTCAGAAATATGTTTGCTTTATTGCGTTCCATGATGGGATGTCAAGACTACACTTTTTTTTTTTGCCACTACCCGTCACTCTTCGAGAATCGATGACAAGGCTTCATGTCCAGACTTGTTGTCTTGCGGATGGGAGTGCTTATTGATTGACCGTCTTTAAGTATGGTGTTGCTTGGTTGGTTGGTTTGATCGATCCGAGGTTGGTTGGGATTGATTGAGATTGATAGATCGATAGAGTGATATATCAGTGTATTGGTAGATTGGTTTGATGGCTTGATGGTTTCTTTTTTTTTTTTTCTTTTTTTTTTTGATAGATCCATGGCATGAGATGAGGGAGAGGAGGGAGGGACAGGATCAAGGTTGCTTAATTGCTTGATTGATTGCGTTGACTCATTGGTTGCGTTGTTTGTTTGACATTCTTAACGGGGAGTTGGAATCAGACTTGGCTGGTATCTTGGTCTCTGCCAGCTGGATAGATGGACCCAGGTGGCACACTGCTCTTCCACAGGAAACAGAACAAAAAAAAAAAAAAAAAGAGAAAAGAAAAAAAGAGAAAAGAAAAAGAAAAAGAAAAGAAAAAGAAAAAGAAAAGAAAAAGAAAAAGAAGAGTCCTTAATGTCTGATCCTGCTGCTTCCACAGGACCCAGGAATCATGCTTGGGTTTGATAATGCTACTTCTGCCCCTGACGCAATGGATCTACCACCTCTGATCTAGAGAACAAAATCTGCTTCTGACGGGGAATCTGACCCTGATGCAGTGAATCTACCACTTCTTATATCCATAAAGTTAGATCATGATGGTGAATGGCCAGTCAATGCACTGAATGGTATTAAATCTATTGACTGCTCTGTTTCCCTTCTCTTTCTGATCAGTGTGATTCCCACTCTACTTCTAGCCGTACTACCTTCTGCAAGAAGTCAGCGTTCACTGCGCATGCATGTCCGTGCGCTCTTGCATTTGAAATGCGTACTTCACCCAAAGTGCCCCGAGATTGAAGCCGGAAGGAGTGCACCCACATGCATGTGGGTGAGAAGAATACACTACCTTCTATCAAAATTTATTCCGGTCGGGTGTAATGCTAGGTTGGGTGTAACGCTACTTTGCGACCCATCCCGACCGGATTGCACCCATCTGTGAGATGGGCCGTCCGATAAGCTGCGTGTTTTCCGGCATCTATCAATGGCGTGCCCCGAAAAGCGTGCCTTGGAATGAGTCGGCAATTGAAAAGTACTGGCCGCACGCGATGATTCCAACCGGCGGAAAGAAAATGGGGAAACAACGTAATGATGGGCGGCGGCACACCTTGGCCCTGACACGAAACGAACAAAAAATGTGTCGGTGTTCTCGCGGCCTTCTAAGGGAAGGTTCATTGAAATTATTTCTCATTTTCTTTGAGTGGCACGGCGAGGCCTGCTATGTCTGGGCCGTTTAGTTTGGTCTTTTGTTTTGTCGTTTTTGTGTTTTTGTTTTTGGTGTTTTGGGGTTTGTGTCGGCGGGCCTTGCTGTACGATCACCAAATGTGCAAATTGAGAATGAACACTCCCCTAGGACATGGAAGTATACAGCAACACAATTCTCTTCTTTAGAGTGACACGGCGAGCTCTCCGAACTTGGGTCTGAATTTCAACAGTCCATGGGTGTGCCAACTTAGCTGGGCACACCGGTCTCTGTAGAGTCGCTTGGCTCTGCCCAGAACGAAAAGTCCTGATGCGTAGGTTTTCCGTCACCGCAGCTGTTTTGGATTTTTGGTTTCGGAGGGCTGCCAGGAGAGGAAAGGCAGGCAAACAGCAGCGGCTGCGGCGGCTGTTTGACCGGACCGTTGGGCTGCGTTCAAACAGCTGCCCCTTCGGCGAATCTCTGTGTGTGTGTGTGTGTGTGTGTGTGTGTGTGTGTGTGTGTGTGTGTGTGTGCCTGTGATGGTTTGCCTGAAGATGTGAAGCGTTCCATGCACACTTGGCCCAGAATGGAATAGACGAGTCCTCGTGACGCAGCAAAGTGCACCTTCTTTCCCTCCCTCCCTCCCTCCCTCCTTCCCTCCTTCCCTCCCTCCCTCTCCCTCCCTTCCGCGCGGCTTCCCTGTCTCTCTTAGTGGTAATGTGTGCAAAGAGGTGGAGGGTTCCATTCACAGTCGGCCCCAAAACCAAATAGGTGGTTTCCCCAGGCGTATGCTAGTCCAATTTGTGTGGGGGGTGCCGTGTTGCAAGTGGAACTGGATTTTTGCACGGCCACTATCGGAAGGAGTAGGTGGGGATCATGCCATGCATGCGGAGAGGCAGGGGGAGAAGGAAGACGAGGGGGCGGTCAAGTGGCTGGTCATGCAGGCAGGAGAGGTTGCCATCGAAATCTAAGAGAAGCTGGAGTAGCAGAAGAAGGGCAAAGGAGGATTGTGAGGATGGGGGTTCAGGAGGATGAGAGAGTGGGGTTTTGGTCGGTCGGGACGGGATGCGACGACAGAGAAAGCAGGAGGGTCATCGCGATATGGTGAAGCATGCAGGGCGACTTTGCAGTCGTTGAGGAGGTTGTGGAGGTGAGGGTCCTATACTAAATGGCAGGAGGATGTCTTTCAGTGACCCAAAGGGGATCGGAAGCGCGGTTTGGCAGGGGGCCAATCAGGATGCGGGATAGAGAGGAGGTCGGAATGTCTGCCAATCAGGGTTTAGGGTGTAAGAACCCATGAAGTGCAGGGGAAAGAAGTCCAAGGCAATAGGGTAAGGAATGCAGGTTGTGTAGGGCGGGATCGAGACAAGGTGGAAAATAAGAGAGCAAGGCAAGAAGAGGATCTCAGAGCAGAGGGGAGAGAACATGTAAGGAAAGGAGAGTGGATCGCGAGTGGGATAGAGTAAATGTGGATATGGAGGTGAAGGAGAGAGAGCATTAAAGAGAGAAAGAACAGACAGAGGGAGAGAGGAAAGGACGTGCCAGATCTGCGAGGGCCATGTCGAGTGTTGGAGAGAGGATCTTGAAGAGGATCCCAACAGAACCACAGGGGCCACCTTGAGTGTTTGGAGAGAGGATCTCGAAGAGGATCCCAACGGAGGAGAGAAAGACGAGGAGAACGAAGGGAAAGGAGAGGTGACAGACAGGATAAGGAGCGGAGCATGGGGAAAGTGGATTGGGGGGGGGGAGGATCGGAAGTGGGATTGAGGGCGCAAGTTGAAAGATGGAATTGGTCAGGGGGAAGGGAGGCAATGGAGGAGGAAGAAAGGGAAGAAGGCGAGCGGGTAGGGGGGCGGCAGGGGGGGGAGGGGAGAGAGAGAGAGAGAGAGAGAGAGAGAGAGAGAGAGAGAGAGAGAGAGAGAGAGAGAGAGAGAGATCTGTAGAGAGAGATCTGTAGATGGATATTTATGTAGATTCTGAATAACCCATTGACATTTCCATGTGTGCGGGCGTAGCCGCACTGGCTTTACTTATGTACCTTGAATGAAAAATGATTAAAACGTGTTGCTCTAGGGTACCTGAGTATTGATTGACCTTGGATCCTGACTGAATATTGGTTGACCTGGCATCCTGACTATTGATCTTGCATCAGTCTATCTATTGTTTGTGGAAAGACATTTGGGATCTCCATCCGGAAGTGAAAATGCTGCTTCTGAAACAGTGAAATGAGGACTGCATCTGTTTTTCCTCTTGTTAATGAGAAGGGAATCTGACCTCGACACGTATTTGTTTTGTCTTTTGCGTTTTCTGGAAACAAATGTTGTTGACGTTCTTGCTCTCTGCAGCTATAAGGACTCTGAGCTCAATGTTGGGGAGAACAGCTGTATTGATCGATGTGTGGCTAAATACTGGCAGGTATGGTTGGGGTTACTCTGATCGGCACCTTCATGTTTGCGGATGAAGTCGCTTGCTCAGGAAGAAAAAAAAAGCCTTTACGATGTGTGTGTGTGTGTGTGTGTGTGTGTGCGCGCTTGTGTGGGTGTGTGGATGTGTGCAACTGCGTTTACTTTTTATGTTTTTTAAGATCGATCAATCAAACTAATCAATCAATCAACTAATCAAGCCCGTCGATTACAATCAATCAATCAATCAATCAATCAATCAATCAATCTATCAAAGCTATCAACTCTATCAACAATCTATGGATCAATCAAGCAAGCAAATGGTCACCCACGAGCATGCTTTCTTTGTGGAGTTGTGTATAACAAATATGACACACGTACTCACACACACACTATGGCCTGCGGCGAGGGGGCTTTCAGTCGTTCGGCAGGCAACTTGCCCACCTGCTGAAATTATTATTTCTTTTCTGAAAAAAATGTGGACGGAAAGAATCCTCCCTCGAAGTCGCTCCGTCACATCGATAAAAAACAAAATTGACACCGGTGTTTGGCCGAACGCCGGACTCGGGGGCCTGAACGGTTGGGCATTCGGGCCATTTTGTTTGGGCTGGCCCGAACGCTGGCTATATATACACACACAGTTTGTCGCAGCCTCTTGTTTGTTGCCCTCTTCTCCCTCTCTGCTTACGGCCTACGAGGCAGTTCTGTTTGACGATATATAGATCGTCAAAGTAGGTCGAAGTTCGACCAGAACTGCCTACGGTAAACTGTAGTAGGCAGAGGGAGAGGGAGGGAAGGAGAAGAGGACAACAGACGAGGGGCTGTGACAAACTGTTTCATTGGGCTTCCACCAACTCATATCTTTAAATATTGTAGGACGTCAAGCATGCGCATAGAGGGAGAAGCCCAATGAAACAGTTTGTCACAGCCCCTCGTCTGTTGTCCTATTGGGGTTCCATTCCCATTGGTATCACTTACGTGCCTGGGCATGCTTGACGTCCTAAAAGCTAGACATAACCTGTTGGGCGCCCCTAGCCGGCATCGACGGGACCTTGGCCAATATTGTAGGTTGCTATGCAGCAACGATATTCGCCATTAGACACCGCTGATGTGAGGATGGCAGGGGGCGGTAGGGGGAGGTGCAGCGACTGGCCATCGTACTCGGCACTAGCACCGCCGTTTTTCCCCGTCGGTGATGCCTGCCCACCCTGCATCACTGTGATGAGGGGCTGGTACACCCGTGCTCTCGCACTACCACTGTGGTGCAATCCTACCCCATGGGCTGGTGAGAGGTCCAGGCTGGTTGGTGTTCCCCCCTACTATACATACAGTAGCGATAGGATGAGATTGATGAGGAAAATATATATAGGGATATTGACAGAAGAACATATATTAGTCAGAAAAAAAAGAAGACAAGGACAAATGCGGAATGAACCCTTCGGCTAATGCAGACCACCAATTTTTCAGCTCGTGAACTGACTTTCATTTTCATGCTGATCCTTGCAATGGTTTGCAATATTCGGTTTGGCTTCCCCATCCCCCCCCCCCCCCCCCCCCCCCCCCCCCCCCCAATATTTGCCTAATGTCCCGTGTGTTTGTATGATGTGCCTGTGTTTTCTGCAGGTGACAGGCATTGTTGGGCAAATGCTTGGTGGAGCACAATTTCCAGGGAAATAGATTGATTGACCTTGTCCCTCGTTTTTGGAATAGCATTGAGGAAATATGTCCCTTGCATTGTTCTGCCTCATGAAGCCTTAATATATTTTATAATTTTTATTGTTTTGCTCTCTGTTTTTTTTTTTTTTCCCCCTTTGTTTGTAAAATATATTATTATGTATATTTTTTTGTTTATGATTTTTTTTTCTTTGTTGGTGAATGTCTCAAAGGGATGAGCAACTGTGTTACAAACAGGGCCGCCCGGTCGCCTTGGTTGCCCGGGCAGTGTGGAAGGGCAAGAGGGTCAGAGGAGGTCTCTGTGGGAAAGAACAAAAAGACAGAAAATAAAAAAAATCCCGAGAAAAATACATTGAGGCATGATTGTGCGGGAAAATAAACTGATTTCTTTTTTTTTTTCCTTTTTTTTTTTTGGGGGGGGGACCATTTCTCGATTTGTGGGTGTCATCCTTGCGCAGGGGCCATGCTGATCTTCTCTGTATGGTTCCAATTTTAACAGATGCCCCGGAGAACAAACTGAACTAATTTTGCTTCAGGGTAACATCGAAATTCACCGTGAAAATAAAAATAAAATCTTAAAAAATATATATATATTCTCTCTCTCTGCCTACGGTTTTACCGGGCAGTTCTGTTTGTCACGATATATATATATTAATATTAATATGAATATTTATTTGTGTTCAGCGTTATCAAAGTTCGCCCGGGCCAAACAAGACGGCCCGAACGGCCGAGCGCTCAGGAACTCCCAACTTCGTGTTCAGCCAAACGCGAAGTTTAATTATTTTCTTCTTTTTTTTTAAGATTTTTTTTTCACTTTTTTATCTTATTTTTTTTGTGTTGCGGAAGGGAGAATCTTCATTACGCATTTTTTCATTAAAAAAGAATTCTAGGCAGGGGGGCAGTTTGCCTGCTGACCGGCGGAAACCCCCTCCTGCCATGTGTGTGTGTGTGTACTTAAAAAGGTGAAACAACAACAACAACAACGCGATATTCATTGATTTATGTAATGGTAATGAACCCAGTCTCTCTCAGAAGCCACTCCTGATTATGTGCACAATGCAGAAGCATCGTCTCATCAACGAAGAGCATGAGGAAAAGAGACAGGAAAGTATAGATAGAGAAGAGGAGGAGAGTCCCAATACTAATCGACAATACATGTATGTCTCTCACCCCTCCTCACTTTTACTTCCGGCTTCTCCCTTATCGCTACCTCAGCAATGCATGTTCTCCTCTGATGTCCTTGGACACAATTGCTGTGCAGATTATAGCAGGGCGCCCCCACCCCAACCAACCAATCAATCAATCAATATATACAAGAAACTTGAAAAAAAAAAAGACAAAATCGGGGCGGGTTCCAAAATCTTAACCCCCCCTTGTCTTCCACGCCCACGCCCATTAGAAATCCGCTGGAAAATAACGGGGGTGTGTACCTCCCAGCACCTTCCTGCAAACCCTGCGGAAAAAGAAGTTGCTCTTATGTCAAATTTCGAAGGTGTCTTTTGGACCATTGGAAGGTCCTCTGCTGACATTTCTGAAATTTCCTCTGTTACCAGTTCCCGATGACCGGACAGCGGGGACGGACGTCCCCGTCCGACGTCGGGTTGGTGATTTGTCTGGGATTCCGGACAACGCGCTCGTTTTTTGGGGAAACGGCTGCTGCGCACCGAAAGCGGAAAAAAAAAGGGAAAAATGGTGGGGGGCTGCATACCACGAGGGGACCCCCCAAAAAATTTTGGGCCCATTTGGAGCAATAAGTAAATAAATTGGCAAACGGTGTTGGGGGTGGGGAAGGGGGGGGGGGATGGTGGGGCGGAGGGCCTGCTGCTGCAGCTCCCTCCCCTTCCGGATCGTTGTACATCCCTGCGGCCCCCTTCCCCTCCTCCTCTTGTTCTTCCTCCTTATCCTCCTCCTCCTCCTCCTCCTCCTCCTCCACCTCCTCCACCTCCTCCTCTTCTTCTTCTTCTTTGTTCTCCGCCTCCTCGTCTTCTCCCCTTCCACACCCTTGTTTATGAATGCAGCAAAATCTCAATGCAGTGGGGCAGTGCGGCACAGGCGCGCACATACATGCGGAAGAGAGAGAGAGAGAGAGAGAGAGAGAGAGAGAGAGAGAGAGAGAGAGAGAGAGAGAGAGAGAGAGAGAGCAGAATACTGTTGTCCACTGAACATAGTGTACCCTGACAATGAATGTGTTTGTATGTGTTTAGAGTGTTTGTGTGCGTTGTCCACATCTGTGTCTTCCCCTGAACATAGCGTACCCTGACAATAAATGTAGACAAGCGATCTTGCGGGTCCAGTACAGGCAAAATGAGGGTGTGTTCGCGACCCTTGTCATTCGCTGGTTTCTTTTTATCTTGTTGCCCGATTTCGAATTCGACCCGGCTGTGGGACGTGACACCACTTGAGGCCTGGGACAAGCTGGGATTTTGAATACGGCTCGGCTGTGGGTGCGTTCTGTTCATGCCTGGGAAGGCCTTTCCGAATTGCGGATGTGTCTTCATTGCCCTTTCGTGTTTTTTTCGCCCTTTCTAAATGTGACATAAATGATGCACTTGTTTCTATTGAGTGTTTTTTTTTTTTTAATTTTATTACATCTGCTGACTCTGCTACGGGGGGTGGTATGAGCATCCTCCCGTAGCACCAGCCTGTCTATGGCGCCGGTCGATTGGTGGGGAGCTGCGCCTGCTGGAAACCAGGTCAAGCGACCGGAGCCCCGCGCTACACTGCCCTCACCCCCATGCAGCAAGCTGAAGAACACAACAGCACTGCATCCGAACCCACCCCATCCTCTTTTTTGTCGTTTGTTCTTCTAATTGGCCACATATAAGAGTTGTTAATCGAACCTTCTGGTTCTCTCTGTTGTGATGAGAATGATGTGTCTGACTCTTTGTCTTTCTGGAGTGGGGCTTGTTAGAGAATCCTCTTCCTATCCAACGTATATATAGCTTGGCTAGCCTTCCTCTTTCTCTTGTGTCGATCGAGGCACGTTAGCGGAATTTCCCAGTTTCGAAATCGGATATTATATTATGAAAGCTTTAGACGCAAGATATACTCCGTGAGGTGGTTACATGGACTTAATGATACATTCAGGACCGCTCTCTTTCCATGTTCCTTGGGATGCTAACCGCCAAACCTCAAATTGACGGCCCAGTGGGCTCTCCATCAGTCCCTAAGTGTGGTCAGTACTCATAACGTTCAGGTAGCAAAGCTTACTCTTGTTCAATAGTTCGTCGTGGCTTTCTTCCCTGTACCTTTCCGCTCGAATTAAAACCCATCCACTTGATGTTCGCAGAGAGATGTTGCTCATCTGGCTCATCTGAACATCAAGTGGATGGGTTTTAATATCCATCTAATGAGCCGAGTTGTTGCGAAACCCCACCAGTATACATGTCCATTGTTCACACAGAGAGAAAAGCTAGCTAGACATAGGATTTAGAATATTGCGGAGTACAGTAAACTGGATCGCTATCAATGCAATGACAGACGCTGCTGTGGAAGGTATATATATCGAATCACCCCGCAAGTCTGGGACCACGTGAGGAAATGCTTTGTGACCATACCACTGTTGGTGAATTTGCTCTTCACCCTCACAAGGGAAGCAGACATCGGGACCCCTACGAGAGATCCAGATGGTCTGTATATAGGTCCTATTCCTTACGAGGCTCCCTCCCACCCTTCCACTCTCATTGTTTCTCCCTGGTGCACCCCTACTCCCATGAACCCACCTCAGTGTCTACAACTTGGGACCATCACCATCTCTGATCCTCATGGGGCGAACCACAGCGGCCATAAACGACTGGGATACCTTTGGCGCTAGCCCATTTTAACCGCCAGTACGTTTATCATACATCGCCTGCGGGCGCTGTGCGCCAAGCGCGGCCGGTGTATCTGGTCGGCGCTGGAGGCCAAATTGGGCCTTCCTGTTAGCCGCAGTGCTTTTGTTTTCAAACGCCGAAAGGTGCTGGCGGTTTAGCTATATGAAGCTCGGCTTGCTCGACTGCCTGGAGGATGAGACATTCATGAAAGGGAGAAATGTGTAACTTTGGCGTCCCTCACGTGTGGGAGGAGATAATTGAAACCATACGACTATGACTACAAGCGGTTTGGAAGGAAGTGTAAAGAGATGTACGGATAAGATTAAAGCTTAGACCAAAACAGCAAATTATAGAATTCCTACAATTTGGATAACCAACATAATAACCTGATTTAGAAACAATGGGTAGCCACAGAACCCAACTGGTAGAGATTGGCACTGCACCACTTTCAGATACCTTACGTGAAATGTAACTTCCTGATGTCGCATACTCAGCGGAGCAATAACAGACAATGGATAATTGTGCAGATGCTGGCCAAGATCCATATGATTTAAATTATGCTTCGTAAACCTTAAAACCCTTGTCCCAGTTTACTGTACGCCCTGCAAAGTGCCCGCGATCTAAAAAAAACATTTTTGCACCCTTGTTCATGAATTAGAATATCAGCAAATTTGTTGAAGCATCAACGAGGCTAAGATTATCAATGAGGTCGTGAAGCAACTAATTGAAAGTGTAGGATAAAAAATTGAAAATCTTTATGATTGGAATTACAGAGGAAATTTGGTAGTTTTTTTAGCAGGCAATCGGGAGGTTTAGGAATTAGGGGTTTAGGACTTTGGGATATAAGCGTTAGAAGTTTTGAGCTGAGTAATTTAAAAACTTAGGAAAGAGATGAATGAATTTACAAATTAATAAATTATGAGTTTAGGAATTATACATTTAGGAATGGATAATTTAGAAATTTGGCAAGTGTGGAAATTTGATCTGGTGAGCAAAAGTAAGAAATCGTACGCTTGGATAATTACTAGATTACAACCGGATCACCTTGAAGAAAATAATCTTAGAGAGGACGTGGAATTTAAACGCATCCGACGCTAGTGCAATGAAAACGTAAAATCAATGCACAAGAGAGAAGTGCAATAAAAATATACAATCAATGAAAGGTATGTACAAGAGACTAGTGATTTGACACCCCTATCACGTTCACATCTAGTTGAGCAAAAGTGACAAAGATGAACGAGCATTATAGGTAGAAGGTAGTGAATACAGCGCAACATCGAGGTGAACACTTGATCGATACATATGTCATCGACGTGAAATGTTGTTTCACCTTGTCAACTCACCTGAAGTTGTTCCTCTAGGGAGAGAGAATATGATGGAGAATGGAGACATCCACCCACCCACCACCCTTTTTACCATCGCCATTCACCTCCCACGCCATCTCCCGCACCGCACAATGCTCAAGCCTCCCTCCCGCCCGCCATGTTACACTATGTTATAGCCCACAATGTCTTCCCTACCGCCAAAACAATGGTCCGGTGCCCCTGGTATGTATGGACTTCAAATTGGTGATTCACATTGGACACCGTGCTGAAGCCCGCAACGCCTTCCTTCCCGCCTGCACAACGGTACAACGCCCCGGTAAAGAATTTGGATTAGGGATTCACCTTGGAAAAATGAAAGTGATTAGATCACACGAATTGAAGCCGGTGTGACAC